AAACAGCTGCAGAGTGGCTGTAGAGCGAGCAACCACCCCAGTCATTTGAAAGGGGTGCCTTGATTCCTTTCAACTTGGAGCACCTCCCCCAGCGTTTCTCCTTCCCTTCCTCCCCGAGAAGAGAAACTGTAGGCTTTCAAAAGAATTTGAAAAGTGACATACATCACTGCGAGCGATGGAGTCCCCAGACTGTGGCCTAGAATGAAGAGAGAGAAAAGCTGGAGACCTGGATGCTGGCTCATAGGCCCCTTGCACAGTGGGAGGGCACACTGCCTCATGTGATCCACGGGGTCTTCATCAGTTGAACTTCAGAAGGAGATCGCCAGGCCTTTCTTCCTATCTTGTCTTAATAGAGAAGTTCCGCTGAAACCTGTAAGCCTTTCTGACAGACAGCAGGTGGCTGCCCAGCTCCCCCACATAGAAGTCAAGCCTTCTCTCATCATTTTTTTTAAAAGCATCTCATATTATAGTCACATTGTTTTTGTTTTTTAATCAGAATACCAGCAAAATAATTAGCAAACCCGATCACCCTCCCTATAGATCTGTGTGGAGCCCTGGTGGCATAGTGGTTACACGTCGGGCTGCTAACTTCAATGTCAGCAGTTTGAAATCACCAGCCACTCTAAGAGAAAGACAAGGCTTTTTATGGCAGTAAAGAATTACAGGGGCAGCTGGCTCCACCGTGCCCTATAGGGTAGGGTCACTGTGAGTCAGAATGGTTCAACGACAGCGAGTGTGAGTTTGTAGACCTGCATCATCTCTATAGGGCTAGTTCATAGTTGAAAACAATCTTTCGGTAACAAGGTGCCAACAAGCCTTCTCAGAGAAATGTTATTTCAGCGCTTACTCAATTCTATCAACCAAAGAAAGTCCAACGACTCCCTGGCCATGGGCAGCATCTTGATTTTTGCCAAGAGAAGGCTAAAAAACAAAACAAACAAACAAAAAAACGCCAGACCTACTGCCAGTGAGTTTATTCCAACTCCTAAGTAACCCAATAGGACAGAGTAGAACTGCCCTGTGGGTCTCCAACACTGTCACTCTTTACAGGAGTCGAAGCCCTGTCTTTCTCCCACAGCAGCCCCAGGGCTCATTTTAAAATGTTAGGTTTCCTAAACTCGGGGTTCCTCGCCTGTTGTGCAAAACCCAGTGTGTGTCCAACGCCCGGCTGGGCTGATCCACAGCTGTCCGCTCATGGGACATCAGGGTGCAGATGGGAGCCTGCAGCTCGAGCGCCCACTGTGCCTCTAGCTTGGGACTCTCCCTTCTTCTGCCAATATCCAGGCACCATGTCAGGGCACCTGGTTATCATGTGTGGAGAGTCAAATTTCAATGAATTTCAGTTAACACCAAACATTCCCAAACAAAAAAACCCAATCTAATTGTGTAGGATAGTCTTTCTATATCCTGCCTAGCTACCCACCTCTCTGCAGTCATTCTAGTACCATGAATAAATACGTCTTCTAGAGTTCGTGGCAAAGGCCCTTAATGTAAGGTGACCAGATTTTAACATTGGTAAAGCGGGACATCATTGATAAAACTCATATCCTGGCAAAATAGCCACATGGCAGCTGAAAACCGTATACCCTAGGCTTGTGCATTCTTTCCAAAAATCAGGACTTTTTAAAAACGCTGCAGGACACGGGAAAAATTAAAAAGCGGGACATCTGGTCACCTTACCTTAATGTTTCCAGCCAGAAAACCCAGGAGCTTCATGTAAGGAAGATAAAGCCTCGAGAATATGAAAGATTCACATTCAAGAAGGCAACCTAAGAAGGTAGAGAAATAAGTGGCAAAGCATCTTCTGAATCTGGGTTCTTAGTCTCACACAAAAGGGCACATGGGCAGCTCTCCAAAGGTCTATAAGGCTCTGGTTAGACCAGTCTTTTATGAAGGAAAATGATGGCCCTGTCGCCCTCTGCTGGAGCCATTCTAGAAAGGACAAAGAAGTCTGAAGATGCTGTTGGTCATCCACTCACACTGTTGCCACCGTCCAGCATAAGCTTCGGGCATTCAGAAAGGTTAATAGAGAAGGGGACACAACACCCTCTTGAGCATCCCACGTGGAGCACAGGGTACTGCTTCCTGTACAGACTCCTCCCCACAGTACAGGCAGGGACTACAAGCAGCGGTAACCTGTGCTCTGAGTCCCAGCCAGCTGGGCCCCTCTGCCCTCCCTGGCCACTTCCATGTCAACAGCAGCTTAGCGTCCTCCCATCATCTTGTAAAGGCCACCACCAAGCCTACCTGGCGAAAAAGGACTGCTTTGCCCCTGAGGGCTCTGGTCCGGCTGGACCCCAGAACGGCCACCACTTCCAACCCATCTTGGTGAGCTTGCTGTGACCAACGTTTGCATGCGCACCCCCATCAGAAAAACATATATAATGCACCAATAAATGTATTTATTTATAAATTATAGAAGTGTACAATTGTACAGTTTTATGTACAATATAAAACACACAAAAATAGAAATTTAAAAGGATGAGATTAAATACAAATAGCCATTTGAACATTGTCCCGATGGGTTGAACACCCACCTGTGTACACCTGGGATAAATACATCCCCACCTCGGCCCACCCCACCTGAAACCACTGTTCGTAAAGTGGTCAATGAATATTACTGCATTTGGATTTTTAGCTCCGATTACAGAAAAATGTACAAGGTTACAGCTTTTTCATTTTTCCCACTGCTTTCCATTTTGTAAAATAGCCCCAGCATCGAGTTTAAATGTGTCACGATACTTGATGCCAACTTCTTGAGACAAACTTGGCCTAATCACTATGCAGCTGGTAAGTGCCACGCTGTGGCTCGTGGACAGCTGGTTACACTTTAAGGCGGCCATGGGCGACGTCACGGAGGTGAGGCAAAATATTCAGTGGGTGAGGGGGTGCTGCATAAAGAAACATTTTAAAACAAAAGATGAAGGAAGGCTGGCCGATTTTTGACACTTGTAATAATAAAACCCAACAAATTAAATAGCTAGCCACACCCCAAAAGAAGGGGGTGCTTTTGTCACTAGAAAGACAAGGGGTAAAGGCATTCTTAACAATGGCCACGCTTGTGGTTTCACGTGGATTGCCACATCTTCCTGCCAGATATACAGCGTGTAATTGAAAACAGGAAGTCTGATTTTTATAGCCTCCCCCACCAACGCCCCCCATCCAACCAGAGAACCAGGCAGAGGCTCAGCTCAGTGCATGATGAATGCTGAATAAGCGCTCAAAATACGAGAAGCACTAACCTGTATTTAAGAATTTTGACTATAAAAAATTCCAATACCTGGTTTTCATTAGCTGAAGCAAATACGGTCAGAGAGGCTCGCTGCATTCTTCCAACAGGGCCCTCTTCTGAGCCACATCAGTCATTTGGGACCCACCTCCTTCTTTCTCCCCAGGGCCTGAGCTTCCCTCTCCAGGGACTCCCACGTCTCCACCCTTCAGACGTAAAGCAGTACGCCTGGTATTTTTCTATACCAAGTGCTCAACTTAAAAAGCAATCTAAAGGACCAGAACCTCTGAGGTCGAGAAACGCTTTTGGAAAACACACTGACGCCTCAACCACCAAGTTTTAAGAATGGTGAAGTTTAAAACTGCTCTACTTCCAACTGTGGTTGACGAGGTCTCCTTATGGAAGACAGGGGCGGAGGTCCTAATAGTAGTGATCAATTGAGAGGTAAAAGTCTGACACCATGTTGGGAACTTGGCGTCTGCGTCTCACTCGGTGTACCACCCACAATGAGTGCTGTGAATGACATGCTCGCTCGGAGGATGACAGTTTCCTGACAAGCCATGAAACTTTCTGTTACCAAGAAGGGTGTCCATCAGACTAAAAGCAAGCCGGGCAAACTGCTAAATCTAGGTTCAGTGACTCGCTAGAGATGAGACCATCAGGCAGGGGCTGGGTCCCTCGTTTTCACAATCTGGGAGGAAGGAAACAACAGTTTGTCACCTTTGGCGGGGAGAACACACCCACCCACAAAGAGAAAAGGAAAGCAGGACTGGTGGCAGTGGCACTGGCCTCCTGTCTAGGAGAGGCCAGCAATTAAGCACAGGGCCTGAGTTACAGGTTGTGATGTCATCCTTTCCAGAAACCTGAGAGCCCTACAAGCCTCCCCGTGGTTCGAAAGAATGTGTGTACAGATTCTTTAAAAACAACACGCCCACTGAGAAAACCAACGCTCTCCTTGAAAAGCACCCACCAGGAGAACTACTGAGTGTTTCTCCCCTTTGTATCTTGAAGGAGAACAGTAAAGACCCCTGCTGACTTTGGACACAGAGGCTGTACTCTGACCTCCTTTCACTTGAAGCACGGCAGCTGGTTACTCTTCCCGCCACATGTGACCACTATCTGCCTTGAGTGGAGCTTCATGGCAAAAGCCTGCCTCTATAATTAAGCCCCCCTACTTGTGAAATCACGCAAACAGAATACATGCCCAATGGCACAGCTTCCTGTTTGCCTGGGAAGGTTTCACGCCCAACGTTAGAAAGACCGGAGGTGAGCGCAAGGCTCCAAGGAAATCATTGCTTTGGACCATTAGATAGGAATCGTTGCATCCTCAATTCCGAACCCAGAAAACTGAGTGGGTTTTGCTAATTCTCACATTTTATTTCCAGCGAGTGCAGAGACAAAAGGCTAGGGGTAATGGATCACTTGTACTAGTAGTCGCAGATTCACAGCCCAGCAGCACTCTGGTCTGTGGAGATACTGCTGGGAGAGGATGATCCCCATCAGCCCAATTGCGTTACGGGCCTGGGCTGCCTCAGCACTGAGTGACAGAAATAGTCCTGGTCCCTCGATGGTTCACCATGGACACAAAGTGCTTCTAAAGAAGGGACACCCCGACCCCCAGCCCCACGCTGCCTTCACTGGTTTCTCTAAGCTGTACAGCAGCAGCTGTCGCTCTCGCAGGAGTGCACACTGCTACCACTCGGGAAAAACGAAAGTGATTGTCCTATTAATGTCCTTTCTCTGGGAGGAAAAAGACACATGATTACAAACATAAAATGAACCAAACATCTATTTTATTGACAGGAGTCCAAAGTGAATACAAAAAGTTCCTCCTCTGCATGTTTTTGTGTTTGTTTTTCCTTAAAAGGTTTCTGATAGTCAGGTAGATTAAAAGCTAAGACTGTATTTCAGCTTTCATAGTGAACCTTTCAGTAAAGGTTTAATAACATAAGTCGCCAGCATCAGAGAACATATGGTCCCACATCACTAAGACCCTGAACTGATCTGCTAACACAGAGGCTTAAAAATGTTTTAAGCCATAAAAAGCCATTTTTTAACGATCTGTGTGATAACTCTGGGCAGTTAAAAAGAGAAGAAAATACCAAAATGTAGCCATCCCTATAATGTGGAATATGAGAAAACACAAACTTATGGCCATGATGGGTAGCAAGAAAACTTTAAGAGCCACAGATGGAGCTGATAGGCATGTGCCACAGTAAAATGTCAAAAAGCTTCTCCGAGGTTGTTCAAACCTGTTCGTGGTGTCATACTGCACTGTTTGCTCAAACTAATGCCGAACCAAGAGGAGTTGCTTGTTTCTACGTTGGTTTTCAAGTATCTTTACTTTGGGACCGTAAGTTGATCATATAATGCATAGCCCACACTCTGGACAGTTATAACAAAGGGTTTATTATCATTTGCAGATGAAATAAATGCACCATCCCTAACGTGCCAGTTTAACAAGCCTTCAGTGTTTTCAGGTTGTACCAAGACACCGTCACTGCCTAATTAAATTATGCATCCATTTCTAGTAAAGAACTAACACTTTCATCAACATCCTTCCGCACCGCTCCTGGTTTATTATACACTTCCAAAACAGCAAAACGTTGCAAATATGATGGTCCATTCATAGTACTGTTCAGTTGTCATCTTCCTCTTCCTCTTCTTCCTCCTCAAAGCTATCTTCAAAGCCTTCACTGTCCTCCTGGTCTTCCTCCCCCTCGACTGCCGTATCCCACTGTGGGTGATTTTCGGGCACAGGCTTAGCCTCATGAACTTCCAACTATAAAGAAGGATTAAAACGTAGACATCAGCAATTTGGGAGGAGGGACGGCATAAATACCTGGTAAACAAAGGATCTTCCTTGGCCACCACGGCATTTTCATAGCTGTGGCTCCAACTGAATACTATCGTGTGGAATAGCATTGCATCCCAGAGACCAACAGGTACATAAATCCACTAACATATCAATGTAATCACGCTTCTAATAGTTTGATATTTTGATTTTATGGAAGTCATGTTACTTAGGAATATATATATTCTGTGGCACAAAAGCATTAATCATTGTGATTCTGTGTGATGTCTCCTGCTGAAGGAAGAAAACTTAAGCAAGTGATGCATTCTCCAACACACTAGGTGAAACTTTTAGAGCCAGTGAGCAGAAACGTGCATTCTCTTGAGGACAAAGACGGGCTTCCTTTCCTCTGGGACTCCAGAGCACTCTGCAGCAGAACTGAGAAACTCAGATATCAATGTCCAAATGAAATGGTACACACTGATAGAAGCGACGCAAAAAACACTATCAGTCCCAGAAATTCATCAATACTCCGACAGAATCTGTGTTTCTCTAAAGCAAACAGAACTCATTTGCTAAGATCCTGTAGACCCACAGCATATTAAAATATACTATTTAGATAATTTCTACTCAAGACTCTAAATCATTATACCTCTTAAGCTCTCTCCCTACCTTCCCATGACTCTCTATCTCAAAACTAGAGGCATTAGTATGGGAAGCTCTTGTTCAAATAGACAGCTGCATTAGTTAAAGAGTTTCTATTCTTACCTTCAATGGCTTAATCTGATCCAAACCCATGTAGGAGTCTGACCTCAGAAACACTGTATACTGATAATTGCCAGGCTTGCCCGGTGCAGGGAACTTCAATTCTACCTAGAAGATAGAATCAGTATTGGAGTTCTGTATTTGAAAAAAAAACAACAGCTCACTCCTAAAACTCTAAGCCCAAATTATTTAATAGATAAGTGCTTACTCAAATGATAATCTTAACAAATGTTACAAAACCACCCTCCAAAAAAATTTACACAGGGTACAGAAAAATAAAAGTAAGTGAAATGTTGGAATTAGTAAAACAAAAGATTTCGTGAAACAGAAGATAATTCTTGCTAAATTTTCTTATCTCTAGGATAAGCCCAATGTCTTAGAACAGCGGTTCTCAATCTTCCCAATGCCGCGACCCTTTAATATAGTTCCTCATGTTGTGGTGACCCCCAAACCATAATATTTTCATTGCTACTTTATAACATAATTTTGCTAATGTTATGAATTGGGTGACCCATGTGAAAGGGTTGTTCGACCCCCAAAGGGTTGAGAGCCACTGCCTTAGGCCAAGATGTTGTATTACCCATCAAATTATAAAACTTCAAATGAAAAAAGTAACAAATTCCTAAGAGTCTTCTTGATACAATCCCACCCGAACAAAGAATAAATATAGAGAAATGGCAGTTGGATGTGTCGTCAATCAACAAATTCAAATTATGGATAATCTATATTAATATGTGACTTAAAAAAAAAAACACTAGAAGTCATCAGTTTGGCCTTTCTAACTTATACAGGACCCAGAAGCCATAAAATAAAGGATTACTACAACATATATAAAACAAACAAGCAAATATTTATTATTTCTGACTAGCAAAAGCCATCATAGAGACAGTAAAATAATTTGAGGAGAAATATCGATCATCCCAGAGGTCAGAAAAAAGAAACACTTTTGCCATTGATAAACTCCACAGTCACGTGGTCAAGCTGAGTACCACTGACCGGAGATGAGCTGACAGCAAGGAGCCCTGGTGTGACACACACAGAGAGGCAGCAGCTGGTCCTATTCTGGCCAAAATGATTTTTTTGGGGGGGCCATCTGTGTATGTCTTTATTTATTTATTTTTGATCGCTTTATTAGGGGCTCATACAAATCTTATCACAATCCATACATACATCAATTGTGTAAAGCACATTTGTACATTCGTTGCCCTCGTCATTCTCAAAACATTTACTCTCCACTTAAGCCCCTGGCATCAGCTCCTCATTTTTCCCCTCCCTCCCCGCTCCTCCCTCCCTCATGAACCCTTCATAATTTATAAATTATGATTTTGTCATATCTTGCCCTGTCCGACGTCTCCCTTCACCCACTTTTCTGTTGTCCCCCAGGGAGGAGGTCACATGTAGATCCTTGTAATCGGTTCCCCCTTTCCCAAAACGATTTAAGTTAAATACAATCATGAGTAACCAACAAGACAAATCCAAATGAAATATTTTGTCTGGACTCTTAAAGAAAATCTCAAGGCTATGAATGATTTTTTAAAAAAAGAAAGTGTTCTAGAGAAGCACAGCAACCAAGTATGTCCCTTGAATGGATCCTAATTTTTTTTTTTTTAATTAAAACATCTATGAGTAGAATGTTTCGGGCAATTTGAAGATGGATCATGTACTAGATAACAATACCATACCCTCAGTATAATTACCCTGTGCTTATATAGAGAAAGCCCCTGGATAGCTAAAGTATGTAGGAGGATACTATCTGAGTCAAAACAGATTGGATGGCAGTGAGGTTTTCTTGAATGTCATAATGTCTACAAGTGGCTCAAATGGTTCAGGAGGTGGGGAGAAGCATGTATTTATGTGTACACATGCAGAAGAGAGAAATAAAACCAAACAAGCCCAAATAATAATAATTGGTGAATCTTGGTAAAGGGCATATGGATTCATGGTACTGAGTGTTCAACTTTCCTATAGTTTTAAACTTTTTTAAAGAAAATTATCAGAGAGAAACTTATACTGAGAAATCATTTTTCACATTCTGATTAAGAATGAGATTCAACTATCTGGTTAACACCCTGTCCTCTATGGAGAAATCTCATACACACACACATGCCCCATATCTGTTTGCACACAGGTATAAATAGCATGCTCTATTCGCTTCAGCACAAGACCAGAACCACCTGCCAGTCCACAGACCAGGAGCGTGCTCATGAATAGGAGTACATTCACACAAAGCCTGTCAGGAAGCTATCTAGGCAAGTTGGGAAGTGTTTATGTTCTCCCATTGCTGTGGGGTCCTTTGACTCCTAACAACGTTGCACCACCAGGCAGAACTGTCCTACGAGGTGTCAATCTGAACGGAAATGGACAAGCATGTCTTTATCCCTGAGTGGCTGGTGAGTTCAAACCTCTAGCCTTTTGGTTAGCAGCCAAGAAGTACTTTATCCTCTGTGCCACCAAGCCTTTTAATGTACTAACATGGAACAAATTCTAAGGGACATTACTGAGAAAAAGCGTTATGGTACGGTGCAGAGCTCTGTGTGCAGTAGTTTTTGTGTAATTAGGAAACATACCCATATGTAGTCTTTGTAACTTGTATCCCATAGAAAGTGAAGGATACATTAAAAATATGGTAGTATTCAGGCCCTTCAGAAAGGGGAATGGTGACAATTTGCAACACTTCTCAGGGTGTACACTTTAGCATTGACTAAAATTTCAAACAAGGAGAATGCACAAAATGAACTTCAAAGAAATACTCTTCAGTTTGCTTTAGATATCAAATAAATAAACGCCTGTAAAATAAATGAACAAACACTACTAAACCAACCCACGTGGTTATCAACATCTTTGTTTAAAATTAAGTATCACATAATTATTTTGAAATTCAAAAGCCTTGATTTTATCCAGAAAGTCCAAACAGAACCATCTCTTTAGAAAAGGTAAACACATCTTAAAAAATGGAGAGGTTCATCACAATGGCACAACAGTGGTATCACCAACAGTCGACCACGCCATGCAAGCAAAAGTCCTACCGACAAACATCTCAATCACTACTGCTTACACATTTTTTCCCCAGAGAAGCACCGTAATGGCACTAGTCCCAGGAAGAGAACAACCCTGACATACCGATGACTTTGAGAGCACAGGAGGGAGAAAGAGGACAATGTTCCTAGGTGCACTCAAGTGAAAATCCCCAAAATACATCAAGAGCACGCTTTTTGTTACTTTTTGTTATATTTTAAAGCTGATCTGGTCACTTAGATTTGACAAACCAATCTGTGTAAATTTTTAATGTATTTCTTAATGAGAAATATCACTATAAAATAACCAAATAAATGCAATGCAAGCAGCCAAATAAGGGGAGACTTTTAAAAAAAATGATTCTACAAAGCCACAGGAATGATGAAATATATATTTTTAAGAACAGGACTATTCTTGAATAATTACCTCTTCAGTATCTTTTAGTGTACACACGTGATATGGCATAGATATTAATGTCTGTTCCTTCCTGTCTGCAATATAGAGCCACCACCATTCTTGTTTTTCCTGTGAAGTTAAAAAAAAAAAAAGTTTGAACCACAAACACTGTTACATGGGCACACAACCGATACAAAGTTTCAATAAAAGGTGTTCAGTAAGTACTAACTTAATAATTCATTCTTAAAATAGTTATAGATCTGCTAAGCAAAGAACTTCTTACAAGCTTAAACTTTTGCACAAGTTTAAATGTTTCAATAGACCTGAAAACCAACTGATGGCCTTCATATTACAAACCTCCAATCTACTTTAATTGATAACATAGAGGGGTACTCTCCCAAAAAAGTGAATTCTCCCCCTGCCCCCCAAAGCTATGCATTTAAATATTCTGACAAAACAACCTTATCACCTTCAAAGTACTCTCCATTACACTTAATACATTTGTCAGATCTGCGATTCCATTCTTGGAAACATTTTCCAAACTGATCTGTTTGGATGGCTGACAGCACCACCTTCATTGTTTTCTTCACCTCTTCTACATTGTCAAATTGCTGTCCTTTCATGTCCCTCTTCATTCACAGAAACAAGAAGAAGTTGCCCAAAGAGAGGTCAGGTGAGTCAGGTGTGTGGGGCAAGAGAAGCATGCTGTTTTTCGCCAAAAACTGGCACACTGAGCTGGCTGCCTGAGTAGGTGCCTTGTCGTGGTGGTAAAAGCAGTCCCCCGTCTGCCACAAATCTGGCCTTTATTGTCACTCACTGCTACCCAATCTTTTCAGAAGCTCTAAAAAGAAAGCTTGATTTAACAGTCTGACCTGATGAAACAAACTTCAAATGCACTATCCCCTCACATTAAAAAAAACAAATGAGCATCATCCTGTCTTTGATTTCACTTGAGCTTTTCTTAGACGATGGAGTCTTCCACTGGCTTGGTTGATGCTTGCTTTCAGGGTCGTAAGAACAACACCATGTCTCCTCACCAGTAATGAATGACCTTGGAAAAGTCTTAGTTGCTTCAGAACTGTTCTTTCAAAGCATGGTAAGTTTCCAATCAAAGCTCCTTTTCCTGGTCAGTCAGAACCCGAAGCACAAACTTCTCAGCGACCTTTCTCATTCTCAAATCCCCCATTAAAATTCACTGACCCCCAGCTCCAAGACAGTCCAGATAACTTCCCATCTCTTCAATGGTCCGTTGTTGGTCTTTTAGCACAAATGCACAAATTTTGTCAACAATTTTTGTCCTTTCGCAAAGTTGACAGACATACAGAAGGAGATTTGTCATCAATTGACATTTCATCTTTTCTGAAATGAGAAAACCACTTGAGTCTTTCCCGTAGCACTGTCCTTGTAAGCTGCGTTCAACATCACAACACTTTCTGTGGCATTTTTCCCAAGCAGGAAACAAAATTTCATAGCTACACATTGTTCTCTTAAACCGCCATCACGAAAAATGAGGTTCGAGTGAAACTGTGTTAATGAAAAATTTCACCGTAAGCAGAGAGAACCTTCCCAGGCAACGCCACTGCTGGATGCTTGCCTAGCTGGAAAAATGCGTACTATGAAAGCTCCGCCTAGCAGAGTTTTCCCCTTTTTTGTTGTTTTTTCTTGGGAGCGGGGAGGTATCCCCTCATATTCTAACAAAGAAACTATATAAACAACCAAAATATAATCTACCAAATAATGTTAGAAACACCCCCTACTAATAAGCAGAGTCAGAAAGTGGGCATGACAGGGACCTGAGCAGCCCAATCAGAGAATCAATAATACAGCAATCCCTGCACTCGTTGAAGACATCTTGGAGACCAAGAGGCTTAATTTACACCTTCCACTGCGCACCATGTTTACAAGCTTAGCATTTCTCATTTTCGTCCACAGAAGATTAGAAACAGACAAAGAACTGCTTCCAGCGCACAGGCTAACAACAAAGAAGAATGAAATAACAAAAGACAAAACACTAGAGAAACTGAAAAATAAACTTTTTAAAGTATTTAGAAAGTCAAGCTGTCGGGAAGCAGCAAACCAAACGTGAGTGTGTTCAGTGTCCACTGAAACACTATAGCAATGTGCACTGCTCAGTCCCTGTTTGAGGTCTTCCTTGTAAGAACGAGCTAGGGAAAGCTAGGTTAGCTTTCTAAAACAGCTTACAGAAACAGATTTGGAGCTACAAAGGAACTCTGGGATATTCTAAATGATCATTTAACTAAAATAATTCTAGACTATTCTAAATTCTCTATCCAAATCAACATTAATTTTTCTAACTGAAAATCTTTCTATACTGACAATGTGTTTTAAACCACAATCACTGTAGTTTCTATTGCAACCATGAGAGGCTAAACTTTCTTGTATTATCTTCCTCATAATACTACACCAAATACAACCAAAAGCTCTTTTGTTTAGGCCTATAAATATGCGCAAAGTACAGCAGGAAAATGTGAGTGTGAATAGCACCAAACCAGAGAAGGGCATTCTGATTAAATCTGAAACTCACCCAAGAGTTAAGACTGCCACCGAGGGGGTGTCGTGTAAAGTCAATTTATCTGTGCCTCTCTCTCAAAACGCAGCGCCTTCATGTCGATTCCACCTCAGAGACCCTGGAGGACAGGGCAGAATGCACCTGGGGATTTCTGAGACTGCACCTCTTTAAGGGAGGAGAAGCCTAGCCTTTCTCCCACAGAGCAACTGGTATTTTCGAAATGCTAACCTATGGTTAGCAGCCCAACTATGCCACCAGGGCTCTCTGCGTGTGCACAGTTATAAGTGTATAAAAACACAACAGACTCATAAGTGAGCTTTATAGCATTGCTCAGCAAGTATCTTCTGTAAAGAGCCAGAGAATAAATATTTTAGCCTTTGCAGGTTATACAGTTTGCACTTCAACTATTCAACTCTGCCACTGTAGCACCAAAGTGAGTGTGGCTGTGCTTCAATAAAACTTTTTTTGCAAAAGCAGGCAGTGCACCAGATTAAGCCGGCGACCTTTAACTTGCCACACTTGTTTAAAAGGCAGGGACCTAGGTTATTACATCTCCCTACGCCTCGATCTCCGGCTTGCTCACTGATGAGTGCCTACACCACAGGCTGGGTTGTGAAAATGAAATACAGCTAAAATACACCTCAGAGTGTCTAGCACAGTTAAGTGCAATAAAAGATTGATAAGATCGTTAGTGAAAGGAGAAACATCATTATTAAAAGTGATTCATCATAAAAAACTTCATCACTGAAACATGTATGTCTGTTCTATGGTACAAACTACACAGGCTATAGCACCCCGTGCCACTTTTTATACCAACCACTGAGGGAAATTTAGCCGGTCGACTTGTCGATTTCATGCTTAGTGTTGACAAACCACCTCTGCTACGGGCAAAATGTCCCTAACAGATGGGCTAGGGGTAGGGCTAGGGCTCCAGACAGAGCAGAAGATCAGTGTGGGCATTCAACTGGAATCCTGGGCAGATGTCTATCCAAGTCAAGGCAACAGCCAGAGCAAAGCCACTCGTTTACTCCGAAAAATAAGTCAGAAAAGCCAAGTTCTTTGGCGATCTGCCATAAATAGTCAACAGCAAATTTGAACTGGCATTCCACAGCAGACCACAAACTTACATAAACCTCTGCCACCCGGGAGTGGTAAGCAGAAGGTCTGTGACAAAGCTGCGAGCCAGTCAATGAAGCTGTTTCCCTGAGTAAGGGCAACTGGCTCTTCACCTCTGCTCCCAGACACTCATGCTCAAGAATCCCAAACAAGTTGGAAAATCAAACAGCAAAACCGCCACCTATCAAGAGGTCAGAAGCTGAGCAGGCCATGACCACTAAGTAAACAAGGACCAGGGAGAAAGTAATTCTGTAATGATGTGTCCTGAGCCTGGAAATCAGTCAAGCTTTTCATGCTTAACGCCTGGGCCCACCACCTTACCCACTGCTACAGGGCTGCCCATTCCCATGGATTAGAGCAATTACCAGGGCCAGGGCAAGGCTAGCTGGCTCCAGGTCTTATACTGATAGGACCCCTTGAGAACACTCATGGGAAATTTAAGAATATTTCATCCGATTTTGAAATGGGTCGGGGTGAGAGCCTCACAGTAGTCAAGCAAAGACCCAAACCATATCTGTCTAATAAAGAGAAGTTACCATCATGA